TTTCTGGCTCAGAGTATAGTAAGAAGTCCCCCCAAATATTAATTGTCAGTATTTTAGTAATAAGAACTAATAAAATTAGAACCTTCTAAATTCAGTGAAACCAAATTTTCTTTCATTTCAGTTATACAAAAAAATCTTTTCTCAGCAAATAAAATTCAGAGTTAACATTCTGGTTTGGCACACACCTTTAATCCCAGCACTCAGGAGGCAGAGGCAGGTGGATCTCTGTGAGTTCAAGGCCAGCCTGGTCTACATAGTGAGTTCCAGGACAGCCGGGGCTACAGGGAGACCCTGTCTCAAAAAGACCAAAAAAAAAAAAAATTTTTTTTGGAATTTATTAAATTTTCTTCAAAAACTCAAATACTAATAGTCTAACTCTAAACTATTACACAAACATTGATATAATAGATTTCAATGAAGTCATTAAGTAGCACTCTAGAAAGTGAAATTGTCTTTAACTTAAAAGGTAAATGAAAAAATAATTAGAACATCCTATCTTTGTGAGAAATCCCACCTCCCAAGTAAATACAAAAGAAGTATAGTTTAACATAACTTTATTCCTACCCTCAGCATTTTACAGTGATGATACATGGGGTTTATTTGTGTGCTTATGTAGGTATATTCTTGATACTACTTTACAAAAAGTTGTCTAACTTTTCCTCCCTTTTGTCTATTTTTTTCCCTCCCACTTCTTAGCATCATTCACGGTTATGTGTTACAATGTGTTATGTGATAAATACGCTACCCGGCAGCTATATGGCTATTGCCCATCCTGGGCATTAAACTGGGAATACAGGAAAAAGGGAATTATGGAAGAAATTGTTAACTGGGACGCAGATATCATTAGTCTTCAGGTAACACTATAGAAATTAAAATGTATTTAACTTAAAGGTCAACTAAAAATAATAGAAGATCCTACCTCTGGGTGACAACCTGTGTTCAAAGCATAACTTGAAAGTGATTAATTTCTCTCCTTTTCTTAAAAAAGAGGGTAATTTTAATAAGCATTTAAGGGATTTCCATAGTAAAACTTTATTGTTGACTGAGTACCCCTATGCAGTAACATTCATTTACTATTTTCTGAAGTTAATCTTACCTGTTATCCATGTTAACAATTCACCCCATGAACAAATTATTGGAATTATTGAAAAAGAAAACTTGGGCCGGGTATGGTGGTGCACACCTTTAATCTCAGCACTCTGGAGGCAGAGGCAGGCGGATCTGTGAGTTCAAGGCCAGCCTGGTCTACATAGTGAGTTCCAGGACAGCCGGGGCTACAGGGAGACCCTGTCTCATCTTTAAAAAAAAAAAAAAAAAAAAAGAAAAAGAAAACTATAAGAAATTGCTAATCTTTCAGGAATATAGATGTAACTTGTAGTAGAGTTTGAAAGAAAGTGGTTGCTAACAGATGTTCCTTAAAGGTAAGCATTTAAAAAATTGCACTGTAAATGATGCATTTGTACCTTACATTGCAAACCATCTCTGAAATTTAGATCTGTCTGTTTTCCAGTAAATTTATATATTGTTATTTTGAAAAATTTAACATATCTGTTTGACCTTTCAAATAATGAAAATAACTTTCAAAAACCTCCTCCCTTCCTTTAAAGCCTCCCTAAGAGTGCAGATCTCCAAGTAGGTGAACCAACCAGTCACTGACTATAGGCTTCACAGTGGGCCCAGTTATAGAAGTTACATAGCTTTGAGTTGAAGTGTTCTGTTTAATAACATTTTATTATAATGAGTTTACCTGAAGAATATGTATTATGTTTTATCACTTCTTTTCAACATTTAGCTAAAAATTAGCCCAAAAGATTTGTGAGTAGTTTTTAGTAATTTTATTAAGACCTTTCAAACTTATATTAAATCCTTTAATGTTTTAATTGACAAATAATTATTGATATTTATTAGATATAGTATGACATTTTAATATGTATATGGTGAAATGACTATATTGATTGTTAATATATCCATCATTTCAAATACTTATTTCTTAGAGATGCTTTAAAATTATTGGTGAGAAGAAAACATTACTTAAAAAAATTTTTTTTGGCTGAGTGTGCTGGCACGTGTCTTTAATCCCAGCACTGGGAGGCAGAGGTAGGTGGATCTTTGTGAGATTGAGGCCAGCCTGGTTTCCATAGTGAGTTCCAGACCAACTGAGGCTACAGGGACACCCTGTCTCAAACCACCCCATGCCCGCCAGGTTTTTTTTTTTTTTTAAATAAAGGAAATGTGCTAATGTGTTTTTACATTGCCTAAAACAGAACAAGGTAAAAATCTTTGACAATCTAATACATGAAGAATGATCAGAACTGGGGGAGAAGGAAGCAGAAGTTAGGCTATTGTAGTGATTTCTCTAGCCTTTGGTTTAATATTTATAATTGTAACACACTCATCCCTTCTAAGTAAAACAGTTTGAAAGGTAAATCATAATTTAAGAAAACCATTTCTATTTTAAAAGCCATACTGCCAGGCGTGGTGGCACATGCCTTTGATCCCAGCACTCGGGAGGCAGAGGCAGGCTGATCTCTGTGAGTTCAAGGCCAGCCTGGTCTATATAGCAGGTTCCAGACCAGCTGGCGCTACAGGGAGACCCTGACTCAAAAAGACCGAAAAAAAAAAAAAAAGTAAAAACCATACTGTGCTAGAGTTATTACATATCATACAATACTCTATTAGAGTATTTAGTCTAGAAAAGTTGAAAATTTTGAAAAATATAACAATTTTGTTATTTTGTCCTAGGAAGGAATGTACCATCATACCCCAAAGATAATTGTTGTATTAAAACTTATGTAATTTTTTATTGTACTAATTTTCCCACTTTTCATTTAATTGACTTATTTATAATTATTTTTTCAGAATAAAATTGAGATTGCACCATTGGTGTATTTTGTTTATTCACTTAATGAGTTTTTCATGCTACTAACAATCTTAAAAAAAGTTAATTATGTGAGTATAATTATGTGAGTATAATTTTGGATAGTTACAGTCATTTACAGATTTGCTCTATAAAATCATTCTGTTAAGAGTACCTTTTTCTTTTGTTTTGCTTTTGAGACAGGGTATCCCTTTCACCCCAGCTGGCCTGGATCTCACAGAGATCTGTCTTCTTCTGCTGCCAGAGTTCTGGGATTAAAGGCCTGTGCCACTAACACCTAGTTGTTAAGAGCACCATTATATGTAAATCATTACCTCCATATTGAATTATGCCATTTGGAAAGGTCTGTTTACAATTTTTTATGGGTCAAAGAATAAGGCATCTAAATTATTAAATTAACAGAAACCATTGAATGATTGCTATTCCTAGAACTCCCTGAAAGTAGATTCTGTTTCCATTGATAGATTGTGTCTTTCACACTTTCTAGCATCCCTTTCTACCAGTTTAGAATTTAACCATTTTTCTCTTTATATTAAAATTTACTATTTCCTACCACCCACCAATCATCTATGCTTTGTTTAATTATTAGTATTGAGGAAGTAAAGTTTATTACAGTGAACTCTAAATTGGGAATCAAAAGACCTGGCTTATAGTCCCACTCCTATTGTTAACTGCTTATGGTGAACATGAGAGAACCATGCCACCTTTCTTGTTCTTTCCTGTTTAAAATACTGTGTCAAATGCAGCTGCCATCAGTAAAGTACGATAGGATGATAGCTGTTACATGGATTGTATTCCAATCGCTCCCTACTCATCATGCTGAATAGTTATGTCTTAGCCATTCATTCTTTCTCTCTGTCATGTAGATAACAACCTTTCTTTCATCTTAGGAAGTGGAAACAGAGCAATACTTTACTCTCTTTCTGCCAGCATTGAAGGATCGTGGATATGATGGATTTTTTTCTCCAAAGTCACGTGCCAAAATCATGTCTGAGCAGGAAAGAAAACATGTAGACGGTTGTGCAATATTCTTCAAAACGGAAAAGTGAGTTAAGAAAACAAAGCACTAGAGCATATACTTATTTCTTTTTTCTTTTTTTAATTACTACATAAAATAGTCTCTGGTCTGACTCTTAAAAACATGAAGCTAGAAATAGCAAGTGTTATAGAAGTTAAAACTAGCTAATGCTTTATTTTTCTTAGGCTATGTACTGGAAGTGAGATTTGTGTTCTTTATATTTTTGTTTTTGTTTTTTTAATTTTTTAAACAGACTGAGTCTTCCTGTAGTCCCAGTTGGCCTGGAATTTGTTTTGTAGACCAGGCTGCCATGCACCACTACAGCCGGCCTCATAAATAATTCTTAATTGTACTAGAAGTTCAGATATAGCAGGAAAAGATAGAAATATAGGACAGTCACAATATAATATAATATGATACATATAGAAAGCTGTAGATAAATGAATAGAAAAGGACAGAAAAGAGGCACAGGACTTATGGAAGTGGGGGAGTAAATGATGGAAACCAGTCATTGGAAAATAAAATGTACAAAAGTGTGAGAGAGGTTAATAATTTGGTTAATAATTTGGACTTGATTCATTAAAGAATTATCTACTTACAAGACAGTCATATACATGCGTAGGTCTATTTTCCTGTTCAATTCCTAATATAATAAGCCAGTCAATATTTTCCTGATATTAACAAATTCAGAGAATTTCAAAGATATTTGGCTCACTTCTCATTTGTATGTACTATTTCATGAACTTTTAATAGAAATTCTATCATTTTGGATAATATTTAGTGCAGAGTCTCATATTTAATGGCAGGATAAATAAGGATTGCCATTATTTTTATAGTGTCTACTACAAATAAGTCCCTTTCTAATTATTTACATAGATTGTCTTTAAATTTTAAAACACTTCTCTAAGGTCTTTTTGTTTTTTTTGGTTGTTTCGGGTTTTCTTTTGGTCTTTTTGAGACAGGGTCTCCCTGTAGCCCTAGCTGTCCTGTAATTCACTATGTAGATCAGGCTGGCCTTGAACTCACAGAGATCTGTCTGCCTCTGCCTCCCAAGCACTGGGATTAAAGGCATGGGCCACCCACCATGCCCAGCTCTAAGATATTTTTTAGTAGATCAAGGAAATCAAGAAATAGACCGGTTCCATTAACAAGGTTACACAGCAGTCTCTCTGAAGTCACAGTTCATGCCATTAACCACCATAACAAATAGAATCTTAGTCTTTTTGTTTCATCTCCAGTATTGACTTTCGCTTTGTACAAGTTTACCTTATTTAGAAAAATTGCCTTGAGTTTGACATTTATTACCCATGTTCATAGAAAATTTTCTTTGAAACATTATAAGTTTAAAAAACTATGTGATAACATAAAAACATTTAATGACATCAAGCTATTTTTGCAACTCCTATTTCCTCCCTCCTTCCATGCTCCCCTCCTTTTTCTCCTTTTTCCATCTCCTTCTCGCCTGCTTTCTTGTCTCCCTAAACAGTATCTTTCTGTGTAGCCTTGAACTTCACTATTCAAGTGCTGGGATTGTAGGTATGTGCCATGCTGGCCCACTTGCTATTATTTCTTTCCAGATAATATGGAAGCTTTAAAAATGATTCCTGGGGCTGGAGAGATGGCTCAGCAGTTAAAAAAACTGGTTGTTCTTGCAGAAGACCCAGGCTCGAAACCCAGCACCCACATGGCAGCTAACTGTCCAACTCTAGTCCCAGGGGATCCGATAACCTCTTCTGACCTCTGCAGGCATTGCATGACACAGGTGCACTTACCTACATGCAAGGCAATACATGCATACACATGGAGAGATGGCTCAGTGGTTAAGAACACTGGTTGTTCTTACAGAAGACCTGGGTTTGAATCCCAGCACCCACATGGCAGCTAACAACTGTCCATTAACTCCAGTTCTAGAGGATCGGACAGCCTCTTCTGTCCTCCACGGGCATTGCACGACATGGATGCACTTACCTACACACAGGAAATACATGCATACACATAAAATAAAAATAAATAAAATATTTTAAAAAATTATTATAGTTTAAAAATATTTTATTTATTTTTATGTGTATGTATTGCCTGCATGTGTGTAAGTGCACCCATGTTGTGCAGTGCCCACAGAAGTCAGAAGAGAGTGTTGGATCCCCTGGAACTGGAGTTACAGGCAGTTGTTAGCTGTCATTTGGATGCTGGGATTCAAACCCAGGTCTTCTGCAAGAGCATTCAGTGTTCTTACTGCTGAGCCTTCTCTCCAGCCCTATACCCCTTACAGTTTTGAGAAGAAATTTGAATTTCTTGATAATTTACTAGAGGTGGTTAAAGTTTTGAAATAGCCATTGTTACTGCAATGTAGGAAACTTTTGACCATTGGATATGTGCAAGTTCATTCTTGATTTATTAAAATACTGTGAGCTGTTTTTAAAAATGAGTACATAAGAAATACTTAATTGGATTTTTTTTCCATCACTGTTTCCTAAATAGTTTAATAACACGAACTCTGTAACACATGAAGACTTTTTGAGTGTGATACAATATTAAACTTCTGCTGCAGAACTTCCTGGAATGACAGGACTATACAATAGACGAAAACTACTGTTTTTCCTGACAGCAAATATTAGTCCTGCTTTTATTAGCTAACTATCCAGAGACCCCACTTACATTTTCTTCTTTGTTCTGAGTGGAGAGATGATAGTGCAAAGAAAAAACTAGGGAATCATATGTCTCTCCTGTTTAGTTACAACTACCCTTTTGAGATCAGTTTCTTCATTTATTTTTTCTTATCTGTAAATACCATTTTTATGTTACAAAATGGACAAAGTCAAATGGTAGCTGTAGAAGAATACTTGAACTCTGTGTGTATTTTCAAAGTCTCACTCTTTCCAAATCACCATGTGATATTTTTAGAAGAATACTTTCCCATCATGATGAAAGGATGAAGTTATTATTTAGTAAAGGCCAGGACATAGATTACTAACATTTAGAGACTTAGGATACAGTGAAATGTTCTAGTGGTATTATTTGGACAGGGTGGTAATTGCTGATTATTGAGCTCAAGGCTTTGAGCATATCAAGCAGGTACTTCCCTACTGAGCTATACTGTAGCCCCATCCAGTTTGATTTGGAGGGAGGAGGAAATTCTTAAAAATCTTAAGATTTGGCAGCACCTTTCAATCATCATTATAAACATCATTTTTTAAGTAGTTACAGGTCTAGATAGATACCAGAAAATAAAATTGTGATCAATCAAGAGCCAGAAATGAGCTTTTACTTTGTCTTTTATCCCAAATATTATTTATAGTCTCAAACATTTTATAAAATATACATATGCATTTTATATGTGTAGTTTATATGTAGAACACTGAGTTAAAGACAGACATTTAAAATATATTCTCAGTGGCTGAACCATCTCTCCAGCCCTTAAAGACAGATATTTTTTTTTATAAACTTAGAATTTAAAATTCTTTTTGCCATGTATTACACTATAGATTTAACCATTAGTAGAAATGGGGTATTAGAACCATATATATATATATGTATACATACAGCTTGACGAAATCCAAAATGGGAAAGAATGGAGATAAAACTGTATCTAGAAACTAGAATTACCTGCTGTTCTGGGATTAGCAGTTCTGATCATACTTTATTTTAAATCAAGGAGAAAGGGAAAGATGAGAACAGCAGTTTATAACAGTGGGCCACTACACTATGAAGAAGCAGTCTCTTGTCACAGGATTGGGAACTTAGGTTGTCATGGTACTTAGTCCTTACTGTATTGCCTCACTTTTTAACCTGCTTCCAGTCTCAGAGATACCAGGTAAGACTAAGTACTTGCTTTTCCCCCCTCATTATTAAATATAGTTTTGTACTTGGAAAAGGGGCATTCAGAAATTATAGTGCTGTTCCAAACTGTTACATCTTTTCAAAGTGCTATTGTGATACTCCTATGTAATTTATGTCATTGATCTCTGTGTTATTAATTTCCTCTTCAGTAGGTAGTGATACTATTTAGAAGCCTCTGGTTTTTGTTTTGTTTTATTTTAAATGAGATCTTGATTTTTATTTTCTCATGTTAACTTCCCATTAAAGTTGGCATGTAAGATAACTGTGCCACCATTCCCTTTCCTTTCAAATATGAGGTAATAAAACCTGTTCTACCTAGCATCTCAGAATTTAAGGTTTATTATGTGACTAAAATGATAAAGAAAGTGAAAGTGCCTTCAAGAGTTAAAAAGCTGTATGAATATAAAATGCTATTTATCTCCTTTTCTTCTGTATTCATCCTAGTTTCCAATTCTGCCTTTACTAATTTTCTTGCATGCTGATGATTAAAGGGACTCAAGGACATCTTTTATATATTTTATGCTGAATATAGATTAAGGAATTCTTTTTGGTTTGATTTTATGAGTACAGAGATAAATTCAAAAAGAAAGGTATAAGTTAACTTTTGGATGAGTGTACTTTTTTTTTGTACATTTAAAAAATTTGTTTGTATGGGTTTGGGTGTGAACATGTGCACCAGTACGTAGCCTATGTGTAGAGGGCAGAGGACAGTTTGAGGGAATTGGTTCTCTCCTTCTATGATATAGGTTCCAGGGATTGAACTCAGGTCATTAGGCTTAGTGACAAGTACCTTTACCCACTGATCGATCTTACCGGGCCAGACTATCTTCACAATGGTGTACTATGTTTCTTTTTCCTTATAAATATGATGGGGTGGGAGAGGGATACTATTTAATGTCTATACATTGCTTTAGTTGCTGACAGTTAGTGCTCAGTGTTCTCTCTCAAGTATTAGTATAATCACATGGCCTCCATAGGCTGGTAAGAAATTGTTACTTCTTGTTGGAAGGCTGTTTTTGAACATGTTCTTCCTGAACATGAAACATTCACAGTAATCTTTCTCAGGCACATAAGAAGTGTGTTTTATTGTTGTTGCTGCTGTTTGGGTTTTTTGTCATAATTGGTTTTGATTATGGTATGTTATTTCTTGTACCCAGTGAGCTTTTGATTACATTTTCAAAAAGGGAAGGGAAGAGAAAAATTCTTGGGATAAAGTAGCACCAGGACTAATGCTTATAAGTCAGAGTACACCAGCCAGAGTATAAATACTAAATGAATTTCAAATTATGAAAGAACAACAGGCTCAAGATTTTACAAATTACCAAAAATTGTTGGCTTGGAATAATGAAAAGTATACGCCCATGCATCTTAGTCAAAAGAAAAGCTCCGATAGTATAGAGGAAGAATGCTATATTTTTAAATGTATGGAAATCTGTGAGACAGAAAGTAGTGTATAGGAAAAGAAAATTAAGTGAAAATGTTGTTAGTGTGGGTAGACTCTAAATCTTTTAAAGATTTTTTTTATTTCTGTATGTCTGTGTCTTTGTATGTGTATGCCATATATGTAAGTTCTTGTGGAGGCCAGAAGACGACATCCGATCCCTTGGAGCTAGAGTTACAGGGTAAGCTGTCCAGTGCGGGAGTTTGGCTCCTTACACACGTCTGTAACTCCATGCCCCAGGGAATCTGATGATACCTGCATGCATATACCTACACATAGACAAACACATATACATATAACAAAAAAAATTCTTAAGAATAAAAGCAGAATACCTGAAAATTTGGTAAAGTCCAAGCATATACATCCTTATTTAATTCTCACCAGAACAATTGAATTTTTTTGATTCCCTTAACTCAACAGATTTCTGGTTCATCAACTTTCAGTGAAGCTGAAATGATAAGACTTGAGAATATGACTCTCCTTTAGAGCTTCTAAATGTCAGTGAAGAGGGTGGGTAATAATGACATAGATACCCTGTCTACACTTGAGAGTATAACTGCCTCTTTAGAGTTCCTCAGTGTCAGTGAAGGGACTGAGTTATAGTGACATAGGCACATTATTTAGGAAAATCAGTTTTATTTTTTTGTACCTCTTGAAACCAAAGACAGTAAAAAGAAGATACTTCAGGAAGAGTGAAAACTTTAAAAAGAAATATAGTAATATAGTCTCAAATTATACCAGTGAAGAAGAAAGCTAGAGGTATTATTGCATTAAATCCAATAATGATATTCAAGATTCAATTGAAAAGATTTTTTTTTTTTTTTGTCTTTTTTGAGACAGGGTCTCCCTGTAGCCCCAGCTGTCCTGGAACTCACTATGTAGACCAGGCTGGCCTTGAACTCACAGAGATCCACCTGCCTCTGCCTCCCGAGTGCTGGGATTTAAGGCATGTGCCACTACTCCCGGCTGTGTCTTTTACTTTTTAATCTGATGTGTGCTAACAAGGTTTATGACATTGAGTGGGCAAACAGCTCTTGTATTTCCTGAAGGAGTGATAAACACTCTGGGGAAGAAGTCTGGGGAGATCACTTAGTGGTTAAGAGCACATGCAGAAGATCTGGGCTCCGTTCCCAGCACCCACATGGCTATTAACAGCCATCCTTAACTCCGTGTCCGGGGATCTGATACCTTCTTCTGGCCTCTGTGGGCATTGTACACACAGGTGCACTTAACATACATTCAGGCAAAACATGCAGGCAGAGCACTCATACCTATAAAGTAAATATATAAAAATTAAAAGACTATCTCTGTGTACAGATTTTTAAAACTGGCATGTATGAGGCCAGGCATGGTAGTGCATACCTTTGATCCCAGCACTCAGGAGGCAGAGGCAGGCAGATCTCTGTGAAATCAAAGCCAGCGTGATCTACATATTGAGTTCCAGGCCAGCTGGGACTACAGGGAGAGACCCTGTCTCAAAAAGACCTAAGCAAACAAATAACAACAGAAAACCCCACAATGAGTGGCATGTATGAAATACCACAGGTCTTGATGCAGAGTAGATTCTCAATAATAGATAACTTTTATTATTACTATCCCATATTATTCTATCCCATTGAGCATTTTAATTATTTCAGGGAACATTGAATACACAAACTTGACATTTATGAATGCCTAAAAGTTGGCAAGGATATTAAATCTGTTAAAAAGACAGAATGACGTTTCAAAGTGCTCTTGATGTGAGTGGTTGAATGAGCCAAAGCTCATGAACTAATACCTAATAACATTTGGTGTTCAAAGATTATTAGTGGAAAGAAGAAAAATATAGAAGGATTGAAATAAGATATGTAAAAGTGTTTGTAATATCATTAGCCAATATCAGAAATAAATGGCAGTTCAACAAAAAGTTATAATCAAGTACTTATTTACAAAGAATCCGTTTGTTTTTAAAAAGGTTTTAGAGAGATGAGGCACTCACTGTGGTACCCAGACTGACTTGAAACCCCTAGACTTACACAGTCCTCCTGTCTCAGCCTCTTAATTTGTTAGTACAGCAGGCATTCACCACTACAATCTCTCTTTCTTCCTTTCTCTCTCTCCCTCTCCCTCTCTGTCTCCCTCTCTCTTTCTCCCTCTCCCTCCACCCCCCCTGGTGTGTATCAAATACAGTCATAAAAAATTATTTTGAGGATATTTAATGTTCAGGGAAATGTCCTTGATTAAAATGATCATTTTTAAACAAAATATAAACTCACATTATTACTAATTGTGTAGAAATACAAGTACAGAAAAAGAGCTAGGAAACATGACTTGTTAATTGAAATATTAGGCTATAAATGACTCAGTTTTCTTTAATTTTTCCTTCTAAATCTCTATAAATATTTACTTATTAAAATATTTTTTCACTTTTTTATGTACTTGTAATTTTACGTTTTTGTAATACTGAAGAAACTTGGTTTAAGAGCAAAAAGATCCTACAAGGTTTAGATATATGCATTCCTTTCTGGCTTCTAATTAATTGGTATGGTTGTAACCAAAGTGCAACATTAGCCTTTAACAAATATAGTACAAAATGAAAAAGGTAGTAATTTATTTATTCAAAGCTCAGTTCTAACTGTTGTACTATATTAATCTGTTACCACATAAAAGTACTTGGGGTTGAGTACTTTACAAAGATACTTCTTTAGTTTCTGGTTTGGAGGCGTAAGGAGATAGCATTGGTACCAGGCTTAGCTCTGTGAAGACCTCCACGTAGGTGGCATCCATGACAGGCATACCAACATAGAAGAAATCACTAGTGAAACAGGAAATTTCAGAGAGATTTGAGGAAGGACCACACTTGCTCTTTTATGACTGACTTTACTGCGTTCTGAGAACAGTGCAGACTTCTGAATCATGTTTCTGCATGCCTATTTGGCTTTTCTGTGTGTAAGGCCACTTATTTATTACTTATATCTGTATCTGTATGAAGATCAGGATTTTTATTAATACTTTGTTGTAACAAAGCAAAATAGATACAAAGACACAAAAGAATAAAATTATTAACCTTCTGATTTCACATTTTATGAAAACTAGTATTTTCAGTGATATATTCTGATTTAATACAGTTTTGATCTGTTTTATATATAGGACTCTCACTAGAAATTCTTTGGAAAAGACATTTCACTGTTTAAAAATCTTTGAGGAAGTTAGATGTATAGATTAGTTGATGCTATCTGTTGAATGCATTTTGAAAATATGCCTGTTTTTATTGTCCTTATCTGAGCCATCATCATCCCTCACTCAACCTCTAGAGCTTCATAATTGTTCTCCTAATACCATTGTAGCCCCTGTAATCTCTTTAGCTGCTACTATTTCTTTCATCTCTAGTATCATTTCTTATCTTCATGTTTCAGCTTAAGGACCACCTTTTTATAGTAGAGCATAAAAACTATACTTCCTTTAAGAACTCTGGGTTTGCAATAGGCCACATGACTGACCCTTTATACTTCTAGGCACATCTGAGGCATTCAGAATTGGAACATGAAGAGAGTGGGGAAGTATTACTTCATCAAGCACACCATCCTGTGGCATAGCAAGCTTTTAGTCAATATTTTTGAAGGAATGTATATATGGTAGCTAGGAAGAAAGTAAGGAAACAGGCTGCAAAGTGTCTTCATTTAATTTCTAGTGAAAATTAGTGTTAAGCCAGGGGTGGTGATGCATTCTTCTGCTTCCATTAATAGGCATTCAGAGGCTAGAAGAGAGGATTAGCTACAGATTTGAGACCATCCTGGTCTACACAGTGAGTTCCAGGCTAGTTGCAGCTACATAGCAAGACCATGTCTCAGAAAAGTTCCACCCAAAGTAATGTGTTTAGTAAGTTTTAGTTTCCTATAAATATTTCACAGAACTAATAAAATTGAGCTAGAAAAGAGATTAAATGGTTTGACCAAGTGACCAGATTCACACTGCTATTAAATGTCAGCACTAGATTTTTTTATTATATCCTATAACTCTATATAATACTAATTTGTCATTAAGGAAATAAACTTCCATAGTATAGAAGCTGTCATCACAGTGAATCATTCCTTCTTATAACACAATTATTTCTCTGAAAACTTAGATCCAATTATAGTTTTCTAGTCAAAATGTAGTCAGAAAAAATTGTGGTAACTCTTTAGCTGAAACAAAGGTTGTATTCCTACATTTTGTTCACAAATATCTTGATAAGGTATTGTGTTCTCTTTAAGTTACCGACTCAGTTAAGATTGTGTGTACCTTTAAATGCCAGACAATCTGAATAGTAGATTAAGTAAATGAATTTTCATACACAAGAACCAATCTAGAAAACAGAACTGGCTCAGCTGCTTCCTCATCCTTTGGAGATTGGCTTTTACCCTTTTGCTTGGTTCACATTTGGTTTTTAGTTCCCTAGGCACTAGCTAGAAGGGGAAAGATGCAAAGGAGTAAAGGGATTCCATTTTTGTTAGGTGGGACCTCCATAACTGTTTATATAAATCAGATTTCTTATGTTCCATTGGCCAGAACTGTATCAGTGGCCACTTGTATCTAGAAAATGACAGAGATGATCAGTAGTGTCTCTAATCATGTCTTTTTAAACATCCAACTACCTAAATCATCGTAAATAATGCATTGTACCTTTTAGATTTACATTGGTGCAGAAGCATACAGTGGAATTTAACCAAGTGGCAATGGCTAATTCAGATGGATCCGAAGCTATGTTGAATAGAGTGATGACAAAAGATAACATTGGCGTTGCTGTGGTACTAGAGGTCCACAAAGAACTATTTGGAACAGGTGAGTGCAATTTAAAGTCTTTTTTTAAAGAATGGAAACCTTTATTAGCTTGTTGCCATTTCTCCTTCATAAACTAAATGAATAAACCTTATTTTGAGGGGCAGGTATGAAATATTCTTATTAAAAATAAATACCATCCTTCATATCTCAAAACAAGAGAATCTTGCTATTATTTATTCCAAAGTTATTTCCTTTTCTTTTAAGGAATGTTAAGGGAGGCAGACAAGAAAATAGTAATAATTACATAAAGCATCGTGTTTTTTTGAGATTTCTTGATATATTCTATGGCTTCTGAAAGTCTTATCAGGTAATATCTGTGAGTCTTTTTAATAAGCCTTAATTGAAAAGGTTCTTTGAAATAAGCGTATGTTTTGGTTAGGCTGAATATAGGAATTATACTGACTTATCCTCTTGAGTATTTTTAGCTTCTTGAGTGTGAACCCTTTGTTTTTAAGGTTAAATAGTTGGCATATTTTCTTTAATTTCTTTGTTATATGTCAGTCTTTGTCAGGATGAGAACAAGATCTTTTATCTACGAGGTACTTTTAGATTATTTATAGCTTTCTTCAGAGTCAAAAATTCATTGTGTATTTCACATTATCTGGATCTTTTGTTAGCCTTTCTACTGCCTGCCTCCAGCATTTTATTGCTTATTGTATATTTTAAGAAGGAACTAGGTATTAAGGCCACATCAACATTCTTCCTTGTACTTTTCACAAAAGAAAAATATTATTGCCTTGAGTATTGGTTTGAATTATTCAGACTGTACATGCTGTCAAACTTCCCTTTACAACAGATTTTCACTTTATTACTGAACACAACCGGTCTTTATTTTATTCATTTGTATTTTTTGAGACAGGGTCTCCCTCTAGCTCCAGCTGGCCTAGAACTTACTATGTAGACCAATTGGCCTCGATCTCACAGAGGTCTGTCTACTTCTGCCTTCTGAGTACTGGGATTAAAGGTGTGCACCACCACACCTGACTTTGATGTGAGAGTTCACGTTAACTTCTTTTCCCCGCCCCCCACCCCCCCAATTTTTATGTCCTTTCCAATCCATTATTCTTTTGGTGTCTTTTGTTCTGATATTATAAAAATTGCTTGGAGTTTTACTCCCTTTTTAATTTGCAGAAGAATAATTTTAACTTATAGAACACTTCTATTTCCTGAAATATGTCTCTTAAACTTCTGAAAGGGGAATTTAGTATATAGGAGTGAATGACTCCTATGGGAAGAGATATTTAATATTTAATACAGTGAACATTTCATTTAGCCAGAAGTGACATTGTAAAACTTGGAAAAGAAGACAAGTTAGAAAATTTGGTTGTATGTGTTTATCTTTTCATCAAATTGCCTTTAAAATGACTCCTTAAAGTCTCATCTAGCAGATTACTTCAGAAGTTTATTTTCTCAACATTGAAGAAAATTATAGTTTGGTAACATTAGAAGGAAGCAATTTTATCCAAGTATCAGACTTAAAAATTGGGTCTTTTCCTCCACAGTTTATGTTTCTTTCTTTACTGTTTGTGAGATAGGGTCTCACCGTGTAACCCTGGCTGGCCTGAAACTCTTTATGAGATCCGCCGACCTTTGCCTCCTGTGTGCTAGGGTTAAAGGCCTGTTCCAACACACCTAGCAAGTTTATATTTCAGTAAAAAGATCTGAGGCATTTTTATAGAAATTTCAATAGAAAATTAAATTTGAATATTCACTGTTATTTTAACAATTCAAAAGTACATAAATTTAAAAAGTGAGAGATTCCCTTATCTCATTCACATTCTAGAAATTGCTCTTGATCATTTCTCCATGTAAATCCAAACATAGAATATATTTATATAGTTTTATTTAAGTGACCTTATACCATCATATTGAACTTTATGCCCTGAATATTTTGGGGTCCTATTTCTGTCCAGGACCTGTTAAGTTTAATTTTCACAATTCTTAATGTATTACCATGTCCATCATTGGAAAATACCATGTTAATGGTTACTTTTAACAGAATTTTAGGGTTTAAAAAAAGAGATTCTTGGGCTGGAGAGATGGTTCCGTGGTTAAGAGCACTGACTGCTCTTGCAGAGGACCTGAGTTCGAGTCCCAGAACCCACATGGCAGCTACAAACTGTCCTTAACTCTTAACATCCAGTTCCAGGGGAATCCAGAGTTCTCTTCTGACCTCCATGTCAATACACGATATGGGTACACTCACATACATGTAGGCGATACGCTCATACACATAAAATAAAAATAATAAATAAACTTTAAAAAAGAAAAAAGATTTCTTTTTCCAAATGAGCCTGAGTACCTAAAATGACTAACCTGAGCCCACACAAATTATTAAATGCAAGTATCCAGACTTTTAAGAGCATTCAACTCCCTAATTTTCATTTTAAGATTAATTTAATTGTATTTTATTTTATGTTTACATATGAATTAATGATGCATGTTTGTATGTGCACCATGTGTGTGCCTGGTTCCCATGGAGGCTAGAAGAGGGCATTAGATCCCTTGGAAAATGGAGTTAGAAGATGGTTGTTAGTCACCTGACATGGATGCTGGAAACTGAACCCTGGGTTCTCTGCAAGAACAGCAAGTGCTCTTAACTCCTGAACTCTCTCTCCAGCTGCCTAATTTTTATTTTAAAAGTAAATTTGTTTGGGTTACAAATTGCTTCCTTCATTTTGTGTAAGTTCATATAATATTATTCCCTTTTACTATTGATTTACCACTTGCTACACTTGTGAAATGGAAGATGTATTGAGTATGTTTACTTCATGGCTACCATTTGTCAACATGATCTAGAAGAGTAATTGCTGTATTAGAATTTCCAGAATTACCCTTTTGCTTCTCAGATTAATTTGAGATAAAAATAAAGTATAACTTTATGGAAAAGAGTAAAGAAATGGCTATGGATCTTTTTGAGAAAACTTTTTAAGATACCACTTTTTTAGAAACATACAGCATAACTTTCTATATCTTTTTTTATGATGTTTAAATTTAGGTATGAAGCCTATTCATGCTGCAGACAAACAGCTGCTTATAGTGGCAAATGCTCACATGCATTGGGACCCAGAGTATTCTGATGTGAAACTTATTCAGACCATGATGTTTGTCTCAGAAGTTAAAAACATTCTAGAGAAAGCCTCAAGTAGGCCTGGCAGCCCAACTGCAGATCCCAACTCCATCCCGCTGGTGCTATGCGCAGATCTTAACTCATTGCCAGATTCAGGTATTTATAACATCATTTCCCCCTCGCTGTCAGTTTTGCTTTTAGTCTTGGTAGAAAGATCAGCTAGCTCTTAACTTTTTTTTTTGTTTGTTTTTTTGTCATTTTGAGACAGGGTCTCCTTATAGCCCCAGCTATCTTGGAACTCACTATGTAGACCAGACTGGCTTTGAACTCACAAAGATCCGCCTGCCTCTGCCTCCCAAGTGCTGGGATTAAAGGCGAGCGCCACCATGCCCAGCTAGCTCTTAACTTTTAAGTAAAGAATTTCTCTTCTAAATTAGAGATAAGCATATCAATGGGAATTGCAAGAATGAGATGGAATAATTCCATAAAGTTTAATAAAGAAACTATTTGCAAAAGAGTGTTCAGAGTTAAGGGAAACAAAAAAAGACAGGCTCTTACTACATAGCTCTGGCTCGCCTGGAGCTCACAGAGATCTGCCTGCCTTTGCCTCCCCAGTGCTGGAACGAAAGACCTATACCACCATATCCAGCATGGTTTGGTTTTTGAGACAGGATCAAATTGTAGTTCAGAAGATCGAATTCAGGTCTTCAGTCTTGTCGACAAACGCCTTGAGCCATCTCACCACCCTGGAGATAGGGCCTGTCATGAGGCAATTAAGTTAAAATGAAGTCACTAGAGCAGGCCCTATTCCCTTATGACTGTTGTCCTTATAACTGGAAAAATCAGGATTCTCTGTTGAGGTTCTCTCTCATTAATGATAGAATTTAAGAATGAACTCAAAGAAAAGCTTGAAGATACTTGATTAGCATTTAAAAGAAAAACCCCAGAGCAGGCCAGCTGTAAATCTCAGCAGCTGCCCAGAGGGGAATGAAGAAGAGAAAAGGGGTGAGGGTGGGGGAGCCATGCTATTTGAATTTAAGCAAGCATGGGGGTCCATGTGGTGGCAGGTAGCCACATAGCAAGCTGAGGTGCTTTAGAGAAAGAGTAAGGAAGCTTAAGGAATCGAAAAAGCATATGTAGGTTCTGGCCAACATCTGAGAGACAGAATTTTTAAAAAAAGGAAAAAGGAAAAGTGGCACCTTTAGCAGAAAAGTGGGCAGATCTAGCAAACTTCATGGCAGCTTGTAGGAATTGCCTGGATATCTTTACTGCTTCTACTCCTAAAATGATGAGTGAGAGCTGTCATCAGAACTTGAAAAATATAATTGTAGAAGAGGGTCAGCAATTGGAGTGATGGCTTAGAACTTGGTAATATAATTAATGCTTGCCAAACTAATAAGAAAGGAACCAGTGGACAGTATACCTCTGCCTTATGCTGGTCCTGTCTTTTTTTCTGCCTATGCTGTCCATTGACCAATCTCTAAAAACTAGAGGGGTAAAGAACTGTTTACATTGATGATCAGCCTCCTGAGGCACAGAGTTGAGCAGTGAAGGGCAGTCTCTAGGGTTAACCAAAGAATATTCATCACAGATAGGTGCCTCATTTAATAACTCTGACAAGCTTTGAGTGACCTTGACCTCCACTATACTGCTTTATGTCTGAGCTTCATCTCAGTTCTCCATTTTAGATTCTGGATTTCAAATGTAAAATAATAAAGTGTTAGTCTTTGTACTATTAGGAAAACATAAAGTGTTAGTCTTTGTACTATTAGGAAAACATAGTCTTAATTTTGTATGTTATCAGTATTAAGTGAGTTTTTTCACCTGGTACATGCTAGGCAGGCATTCTACAACTGAATTATATCCTCAGCCCCTGTTATTAGGCTACTTAAAATAACCATTCAGCAACACATACAAAATAACTCAAATGTCTGCACTTGGAATATTCAGAAAGTCACCAAACTTAAAAAATGTCTTCTCCTTAACAGATAAATGCTGAAATCCTTGTTTGCAAATGTTTGGTTTCTGTCTCCCTCCTTCTTTCTTCTCTGTACCGTGTGTGTGTGTGTGTGTGTGTGTGTGTGTGTGTGTGTGTGTGTGAGAGAGAGAGAGAGAGAGAGAGAGAGAGAGAGAGAGAGTTTCACTATGTTGTTCTGGTCTATAAACTCAGTGTATAGACCAGGATGGCCTGGAACTCAAAGAGATGCACTTGCTTCAACCAAACCACTATAAACATGAGTCTGTGTAGAATCAAATTTAGTTATATAGCTTTGTGTAAGGACTACAGGTTAAATGGTAATGTTCCTTTATTCTACCAGGTGTTGTGGAATATTTAAGCAATGGAGGAGTAGCTGACAACCATAAAGACTTCAAGGAACTAAGGTATAATGAATGTCTTATGAACTTCAGCTGCAGTGGAAAGAATGGAAGCTCCGAAGGGAGAATCACACATGGCTTCCAACTTAAGAGCGCCTATGAAAATAACTTGATGCCTTATACCAATTACACCTTTGATTTCAAAGTGAGTAGCAGTTTCTGGGCTGGCATATGAAATACTTCAAATATAAGCATGTGAAAAATAAAGTATAAATTCTTATGATTAATTACATAATCAAGGATTTTTAGATTTTCAAAATGTCTAGTCTAAGTAGTTACCTAATCATGAAGAATTTTGTTAGGTTTTATAGTTATTATTGATGTCTTCTCAGTTCTTTTGGAATTTTCATTTGTTCATATTTCAAATAATAGTTATAATAGCAACTACTTCTAAAATGCTCTCTATGTGTCAGGCACTGTTTAAAGCACTTGGGTATATGTTAATTTAGTTAATCCTCACTTGCTTACCATCCTTTATTTTCAATAAGAACTTAAGCACCTAATAAGCATATCCTGAATGAATTTATATAAATGTTTTTCTGTGAAATTTTTCTTTTAATATCTTATCTTACAAAATGGTTGTTACTGCCATTATGGGTGCTGGGAACTGAACTCGGTCCTCTATAAGAGCAGCCAGTACTTTAACCATTGTGCCATCTCTCCAGTTCCTACTTTTTTCCATTTTAGTGTTTATTAATTCCTTTCCAAGAAACAAAAGTAGGAGGAAGAAAGGAAATCCATGTGTTGATATTATTAGTCAGCTTTATTAGGAAATGGGAAATAAAACGGCTTCGAAGTTAATGTAGTTAATGTTTTACTATTAGATAATTCTATCCAGTGATAGTTCATATTGTTTTGATCACTCACATGATGATATGTTGATAAATATTTAATAACTAGCCTTCTGGGAAAAAGAAACCTATTATAGTATTTGTTGATTTCCGTTGATTACATACTTTTCCAGACTCATAATGTGATACTTTTGAGCATAGTGTTGGGAGAGGGTATGTTAAAGTTGATACTAACCAGCTTTAGCATACTCCTGCTTTTATATAAGCTTTAAGAACTACTTCTAGGGGCTGGAGCAATGGCTCAGCGGTTAAGAACACTGGTTGTTCTTGGAGAAGACCCGGGTTTGAATCCCAGAACCCACATGGCAGCTAACAACTGTCCTTAACTCCAGTCCCAGGGGATCTGACGGCCTCTTCTGACCTCCACCGGCATTGCACGACACAGGTGCACTTACCTACATGCAGACAATACATGCATACACATAAAATAAAAATGATAAATAAAAAGTTTTTAAAAAGAAATACTTAAAATACTTCTATATTTAATAATAATATAGTTTACTGCAAGATAAATCCCATCTTTATAATTAAAGTGATATGTTCACCAGCATAACCCAGAAAAACAGTAACAGAAATTTCCCCAAATAAGTGTTCAGTAATTATACAACTATTGTTGTCTTGGTATGTGAATAGATTTTAAAAAATTACTTTGGTTTTGGGTTTTGTTTGTTTTTGAGTATAGGGTCTCACTGTTGAGCTCTGACTGGCTGAAACTAGCCTAGTCTTGAACTCATAAAGATCCATCTGCATCTGCCTCCTAAGTGCTAAACTAAAGGCATGTATCATAAAGATCCATCTACATCTGCCTCCTAAGTGCTAAACTAAAGGCATGTACCACAATTTAAGACTAAATTGGTCTTAAATTCTGTGTTGCTGTTTCTTCAAAATATCTTTCATGTGCCAGGTGTAATGGCACATACCTGTAATTCCACCACTTGGGAGGGTGAGATGAGGAATTTGATTTTAACACCAGCTGGGCTACATAGCAAGACCTACCTCAGTCAATAAATCAATCAAATAATCAAGCAGACAATAAATATTCCATATGTAGAAATATTTTTTTCCTCCTTGGGTGTTGGCACTCTTGATTTAGATAGGTACTACATTAGGCAAAGTCTTCTTTCTTGCATGCGTAGCTCAGGACAGTGAAGGCACACTAATTTTGAGATGTACTGATCAGACAGAACTGATACTATATATACGTGTGTGTGTGTGTGTGTGTATGCATGTATATAGATGTGTGTATGTATGTGTGTGGGTCCTTGGCTGACTGATATTTTGCTTGAGTATCCTTATGTAGCAAGAGTATCTGAATTTATAGTATACCAGGGTTTGCGAAAATGAGCTTTTTTTTTTTTTTTTTTTTTTTTTTTGTGGTCTTTTTTGAAATGGTCTCCCTGTAGCCCCAGCTGGCCTGGAACTCACTATGTAGACCGGGCTGGCTTTGAACTCAACAGGGATCTGCCTGCCTCTGCCTCCCAAGTGCTGGGATTAATGGCACGCACCACCACACCCAGCTGAAAATGAGCATTTTTAAACTAAGCAAAGTTTGCATGTATATAGCAAATCTGAGAAAACTGAACTAGGTTTAACAAATCTGAAGCCATCCTTTAGGAAGGCTTTGTTCAGATCTGCTTGAATGTTCTAAATGTCTTTATTTTTTGCTTATTATAGTTGACAGTATAGTTCCATAATATACTTAGATGTTAGGTTTCACTAAACCAAAAAGGTAAGTTGTAAAGATGCCTAAATAATCATTTGATGTAGTTAGCATTTCAGCTAATCATTTATGTAAAATATAAACCTTTCTGATTCAGTAGGATGCTGTTTCTCTATTGAACCATCTTTATTTCATGTAATAACCCATTGAAGATTTGAGCCTTCCTTATTTGACCTACAGTCAATTATAAGAGGTACCAGGAGTCAGATTACTTAGCTTTTCCAAATCAGAGATTGTTCTTTATATGGAGTTTATCTCTTGTTCTAAGCATATTTTCCCCTCTCCCATCCCTAATTTCTTTCCAGGGCGTGATTGACTACATTTTCTATTCCAAGACTCATATGAACGTGCTTGGTGTCCTGGGGCCTTTAGATCCTCAATGGCTGGTTGAGAACAACATCACTGGGTGTCCACACCCTCACATCCCTTCAGACCACTTCTCACTGTTAACACAACTTGAACTCCACCCTCCACTCCTGCCTCTTGTTAATGGTGTTCACTTGCCTAATCGGAGGTAGTGGAGTACTGCCCCGCAAAGACGGGAATCTGTTGCTATGGACCTGTACAGTTGTAAATCAAAGTATGTAGGAGTGAAGTATGGCCATCCTTAAGCTGCTTCTTCAGGTTCCTTTCATTATGTGTTTGCTATAAGACTTTGTATATTTTTGTGCATACTGATAACATTTGGCACTAGGGCTGGAACCAAAGTATTATTGTCTATCTCTATCCAAAATTTAACATATTTTTAATTGGATTTCTTCATATTATATTAGAGCCACTATCCATAATTGATAGATCACTAATTTGAAATCCAACATCAGTGTATTTGTTTTCAAATAAGCCAATCATTTTTGTAAAAGACAATTTTTACAAACTATAAATACCAAATTTTAAATTGAATGATGGCATGCCTTATAGGGAAAACTTGCTTGAGTTTCTGTTTTCCTTCATAACAAACTGATTTTTGGCCCCCAAGTAATTTGCACATTAACAAAGCACTTAAATTTGCTTGATTTGTACATAAAATATGTTATAGCCAACTAGCCATAAGAAAATTTGAGAAGTGGAAGGTAATTGCACAACATACTTTCAAAATCAAGCATTTAACAGTACATAACAGTTTTTGGCCAAATCCTGATTGTTTTGTTCAACGAATCACTTTTTTTTGGTCCTCCTATTAGTTGTAATCTTTTTAGAACTATTAAATCTATGCCTGTCTTTCCATTTTATTTATAAGGAAATAGCCGGTATATACTGCCATATATCTTGAAAGTAGAATTTGGTATGTTTAGGATGCCCACAAAATTAGTGTCTGGTATTTTTTCATTTTTCTCATCTACTCTTCTTTTCTGTCTGATTGTGCTGGAAAAAGAGATACTATATGGTCTGTATCATTTTTTGCTACTACAGTGAAATGTTTAAACAACTTGCTCACTGAAAAGGCCCTAATTAAAGTTTCAGAAAGGTAAAGCCATGCAAATATTTCACGTGTTTCCCAAAGTAAGTTAAATGGCTGTTCAGTTGGGTTTTTTGAGATAATAAAGAGGATAATAGAGAGGACAGATTTGGGGCAGTAGTAATTGAAAACCTTGGATCACTTTTTCTGACTCTAGCTGCCAAATGGCCATCATATGCTTTTAGTCTTTTTTCCATTCTCTGGCCAGGTTTGAATTAAGCTACTGGTTTATTCCCAACTTTTGATGCCTCTAGATATATTGGAATTACCGCCCGCCCCCCTTTATTGTTGTTGCCCGGGAGGGGCCATTTGAAAATCTGACTTAAGAGGCAGTGAACATAAATACCATTTTGTGGGGAGAAAATTGGTTGGTGACTTGTTGTTAATTATGGCACAGTGACATTGGAAAAGGTTGTGTCTGTGTTTTTAAGTTTTTCCTTATTCTGCTTTTTTGCTGCTATAAGAGTTTTCTGAAATTTATATTTTAAACTTTTCATGCACTTTACTGTTTCTAGTATCAAAATGTGATATTTTTAATAAACAAGAAATTTTCCATTATGTGAATGAAATTTTAAAAGAAAATAGCCTATATTTGTGTCTCACTAATATATAAAGTACAAGTCAAATTTAAATTATTTAATTAGTTTTAAATATATACAAATTGTTTCCTCTTTCAAACCTGACATCTTAGGCTGTTTTATTAGTCTTAAATGATACATTTCCTCTGGTCATTTTGTACTAATTTCTTCCATAGTAAACTAATCAGGCTATATAAAATAATATTTCCCCTGAAGGGTAATTTAAGTGGGATGAGGGTGGTGGGATGATGTAATATCACACAGGATTGCATCCAAAAGGATTCTGTAGAGCCCAAACTCCCTTTTAAAAGTGCCTAGTGATGGAGGCGTTGTTTGTCATCTATTGTAATTGGAATGTCATTGTAGTTCACTGAAGTTTGTTGTAAATAAAATGTTCTTTTAAAAATGTCAAAGTACCTGAATAAACAAATGAGAAGAAACAACTCTTAAGATGACAGATTTTCCTCAAAGTTCAGGTATCCCTTCTTATATACCTCAAGCATCCAACATCTAGCCATGCAAATTGATTACCTGAAGCATAGTACTGGAAAGTAGAATAGCATGAAAAACTTAATTTTGTGGACATTACCTTTTTTTTTAATCAGCTACTGTATGTTTTATTTTAGAACTTTTGTTTTGGGTGGGTTTTCTGCTCTGGAGGTATATGCACTAGCAAAACATTTTCCTCCTTTCATATACGCATGTTAATTAGCAATGTGAGCAATATTTCCTACCATACTTCACTCCCAATATTTTTTGAGATGTTTGTATAAAATGGAATTTAAAGTTCACTTATGATTGTATATGAACCACAGAGGAGCCCATTTATTAATAAAAATCTTTTTTAATAGTTAAATGTAGAGGGGAAAAAATAAAAAAAAATTGGGAAACATTGTAAACAGCTTAAGTTTATTTTGTGTATGATCGAGGCACTCTGTTGCAAGAAGGTGTGTAATTGGGTTCTCTCTGCTTCCAAATGCACTCTTTCAAACCATTCATTATCCTGTGTATTTTTAATGTGGTTTTAGTAAATGTTGGTAGTAGCTCTGATGAAATAGGTAATTGTGTTATATTTTGGATGGCACACACTTGGGGCATGGTAACCCAAATTTCATGTGCACGGTTTCCCTTTAGCCTCCTGCCCAAATTTCATACACTGTTCACCCTTTGTTCCTTTGTAAAAGGAGTGGTATCTGTTTTGAGCTGCCAGTTCAGATGATCAGAAATGCTGCTTGTCCTCAGCATTATCTTGTTAAATGCATGCCATTTGGAACTTTGGCAGTGAGAAGCCCAAAAGACAGGTGAATGACATGGTATATAATCAATGAAAGTGAAATAAATATATACTCATATACTTTTTAGTTCTCAGAATAAGTTAATAAGCTTTATGCCATTGGGCTGCTGCATATTTTATCTGGTGATAAAAGAAACTTTGGGCATTTTTAGGTTGTGATACATATCTTTTAAACTGTTAAATATGATTTCTGGTAATTGTCTTAAGAACCAGATTGTTCTTTACATTTAATAAAACGGTGTTGTTTGAGGAAGAGGAAACTGCACTGTTTGCCATTTAACAGTTATACAAGTGCATGTTAAGTCACCCACTGTCAGGCATCAGTATCCGCCTCATAGCTTTATACATTTTGTTGGGGAATTTTGCAGCATCCTCAGGACTGACATCTGGAAAAGGCTCAAATCTACTTACTGCTCCTTGCTTGTTGACTTTGTTTTAAAATATTGTGCCTGGTGTCAACTTTTAAGCAACAGCACTGCCTAAACGCAAGCAGAGAACAGAATCCCAGCACCATTCTATAGGCAACTTTTTAGAATTCAGATATAGTAAATGTGTTCAAGATTTATGAAGTTTTATGTAAAAAGATTTTGTACAACATAGCTGAATATTTTTGTTTCATTTCTTTGATGTAAGGCGTGTGAGCATTCGTTTGAATATCACATGTTAAAGTCAGGTATGGCACAATGGGTTCTGAGACCAGCTTTTTCCCTTCCCATTTGCCTTGTTCCAAGCTCTTTCTTTTCAAATTACTTTTCTGATATTCATAGGCAGATATTTAATTTTACTAATAAGTATCCTGTGTGAATGTATTTTAAAAGCCACTGTTTGACTATTATAGTTTGTAGAAATATGAAGCTCCATTTCTTATTTGCCCCTATCTTCTGTTGTCTTAAAGTCATATATTATCACTAACAAGGGAGAAAGTTGAAAAATACCCGACTCATATCACTTGATACTGTGACAGATTATCTTAAAATTGAGAGTGTGGCACATCAAAGCTAGCGCATGGACAAAACTTGTGTCCATTTAAAATTTTTGAGTACATATTGTATTACATTTCCAAGAATTTCTAAAAAATCACAAATACCATCTGTACATTCAGTATCAAATAACAAAGAGAAGGGAAAGCACAAAAAAAAAATAGGTTGAACATATTTGTTGAAGGAACCAGGGACATGTGGTTTCATTCCTAATACGAAGCTAGATTTCCTTGTGTTCAAAATTGACTTTGTCTGAATATTTATTTGATTCTAAGGTTTTATATTCTGGGTTTTCAAAATATTTTAATAGCTTTGCAAAGTATGCTAACTGGTAGCTTCAGTCACAGGAAAACAAGTTTTTATTCAGCAATGGTTCTGTAGCAAGCAAAGTCTCTATGTCACATTTTCAAAGTAACATGTTTTGACTAAAATGTGAATTGTCATATTTGTAAGGTTCCTTCCCCCATAAAACCCAAAGCATCACCTTTCTAATGTGTTGAAGATTTGTTTACCAACTTTCCTTTTGAATGTATCATGTTTGTACAACTTTTGTCTATTAGATGTAGATAATTAAGTAGAGACATTAGACTTATTTTTCTACAGGAACTTTAACTGAAGTTTTGGATTTATAGATAGAACTTTTATGCTTATGATTGCTCTGGGTAATTTTAATTCTGTAATATGTCCATGATCCCCAAATTCAAATTCAGGCATAAATTCCTAGAACATTTTTAACTTGGCCCATTTACCAAAGTTGTGATCTTTTAAGAACAGAATGTCTGGAGCATCTTTCATAATTGTTGCCTAAACACTTAAAGATAAAAAGATAGAAGAAAACCCTACATGTATACTGCAGGGTGTTCAGAGCAAGAGCCACAGGAAGAAAGAAGAAAAAGAGAAGGAAGGAAAGGAAAAAGAAAGGGAGGGTGGGAGGGATGGACGGATGGATGATGAATGATGGATGAGTGGAGGGAGGGAAAGTAAAATCCAATGAGAGGGAACCTGTTTCCAGGAAGGTGGTAAGGGAGAACATGTGTATTTCTTGTCTTAACCAAATATCTTTCTGTAAATTTCTCAGTTAAATCAAAAGGACTGTAGGAAGAAACAGGGGATACCAGGAAAAGCAAGTTCTAACATAGTAAAAATTTTTTGGCATAAAATTTGGTTAGATTTAGTTTATTCTTGGAACCAAAGGTAAAACTGAAGTACTTTTTCATGAAATAACTTTTACTTTCAAAGGATATGAATTAAGGACATGCTTATATGTTTTTTTTTATGACACAGCCTACAAAATGAGTAAGTAGAACTGAATTGAAATCAGAAGTATGTCATTAGAAATCACACATGAGAAGGGTATGCAAATGCCAAGTGATATGACTCTTTTGGCATGGTAGCATGATACATTCAGCTTTCAGAATATTTCAAAAGGCATAAATTGACACCTGTTACTAGTCATTTTCATTAACAAGTTCCCTGAATTTGTATAATTTCCCTGTTTGTATATCCGTCACTTCTAAAAGCATAAGAATCATGGTAGTCCTCTGAAAAGTGATCCTTTCTTGCTCGTTTTAGTTTTGTGCTAATTTTGGATTATTGATGTATTTTCTTAGCTATCAATTGTGCTATATACCACATTTGTTTAATTTTTGTGTAATTACCTGAACTCACAATATTGGCTCAGCATTGATGTGCCAAACAATGGCTTTGCTTCTTACTGAAGAGACTTAGTATCCTGCTACTTGTTTCAACCTTAATGCAGTAAGTGATGCAGTATCTGGGTTGATCTTTATTCAAAAACTGTTCTGTCCTTTCATTGTGCTTAACTTGCTAAAAATATGTTCCCTTACCTGTGAAATTCCTGAGCGGTGCTCTGCCAACTTTTGTGGGGAGGGATTTGGATGGCTATTATTGTACACTGGATCTGGAATTGTTCAGTGTTGTGAGTGGCAAATTTCTTAAACACCAGCAGCACTGAAAAGTGCACTACGGGCATTCGTACAGTTTTCCAAATGCAGACAGTTCTTTCATCTACAAGCTGAGGTGTAGAGTTCAATAGGAATACTTGGAAAATTTCAAAGAAGATGAAGACTTGACTTGTCTCTGAAGTGAGGTAGCATAGAGGTTTTTATTTTTCTTTTTTTTGTGTGTGTATTTTGTTTTTTAAAGAGAAAAATATATACATACCTTTTCCTTTTGAAAAGGCCAGGATGTTTGGTTATTTTCTCCAGAGATTAAATTATATCATCTTTCAACCATAAAAGTGCCAAGTAATTGTCCATGTGACTATCAACTCTTCCGCTCAATTTACCATTTGAGTAGGGAAGGGCCTATTTATTTATATTACCTGGCATCAAGTTGAGTAATTGTTTTGCATACATTTGAGTCATTCTTTGGCCTATATAGTGTTTTTTTGTAACTGATTCTAATGGTCAAAAAGCAAAGCACATAATCTAAAAGCTAAGCAAAGTGTTTTAGTAATTTTTTTTAATACTTGATAATTTTTATTAAGCGAATTTTACTGTTTCAGCTTAAGTATTTATTTTGACTTTGTCTTGAGAAAAAGCCAAGCACCAAATCAACTTGTTGTTTTCCAGTAATCAATTTACAATCTAAGCTTTTTCTTTTCTTTTTTCCTAACTAGAAGATTTAATGAAGTGCCATGTACTTGTAGCTTGCTAAATAATTTATGTTTAATAGACTGGTTCTGTGATATTCTAAACATTTAACACTCTCGTCATCGCTGGAGAAAGTGGTTCTACTTTCATTATTGAACACATTCTCTGACAAAATCACCAGCTGCTTTATTTTTCTATTTATTAAACAGTTGATGAGGTCTGAATCTTGACCAAACTGCTCAGCTGAGATGTTTTTCACAGTAGACACTGTACAAAATATGTGTGCAAACAGACACAATTGGGTGGTGGGTTTTTTTTCATTAATGTGAACATTGACTAAACAAAGTAGTCCTGCCTTTTAAATCTTGTGGCAGCTCAGAAGGGAGGTGCTTAAGAACCTTAACTATTATGTCAGATGACAAAATACTTTTTTCCATTTTGGAGATTGGGTACTGCTCACACATGATGTATAGGGCTAAATATATGCTTGTTTCCTTGCACCTGTACTTTTCCCTTCTCTCCCTCCCCTTTCCTTCCCCTGTAGGCAATAAATGGCCATTTTGCAACTGCATACTTTTGTCTTGGTTTTTGATTATTTGTGTAGTGTTAAAGTTCCTGATTTTAGGTTGAGTAAAATGACTACAAATTCATACTACATTGTGTGTGTGTGGGGGGGGATTACTTAAGGACAAGTTAGTTATAGGACTTGTTTGCCAGAAGAAATCCAAACAAAGGGACCTATGTCACTTCTGAGTAAGTGTAAGACACTATTTAATGAGCCATATTCTACTTTTTGCCTTGATGATCATGGGAGCATATGGTGAGATGGAACTTTTCATCCTCCATCCCTGAATGACTTTGGTGAATAAAAGTCTCTTGCTGACCTTTGGAAATGTAATATGAGTAAGAAAAATCTCATTGTCTTTAATAAAGATTTGTTATACAGGTATAAATTTAGCCTGACCCAAGTACTCTCAGACAGATGAGCTGAGTTACTAGTAATGAACAAACTTTAATGGCTAGACCTGTCAAGGTCTAGAGTAAATTCATTTGACATTTAGGCATCATTCATGAACAGAGTGCTCTATGGATGGAAAGGCTATTCTTAGAGAAAGGCTATTCTCTACAAAGTAGTCCAGTATTGTAGAAGAGAAGATATAGAAGCATTGTGGTCAGTATAAAGGTGATCTTAAATTTTAGAATCTGGGAGAGAAGTCAAGGAGAAATCATACAGTGAAGTAATTAGAAATTCTGGAAAAATCTTTGGAGAGATGCAACTGAAATGATTTTTTAAATGATTTTTATGTGTATGCATATATTGCCTGCATGTAGGTAAGTACACCCATGTCATGCATTGCCCGCAGAGGTCAGAAGAGGCTGTCGGATCCCCTGGGACTGGAGTTATGGACAGTTGTTAGCTGCCATGTGGATGCTGGGATTCGAACCCGGGTCTTCTGTAAGAACAACCAGTGTTCTTAACTGCTGAGCCATCTCTCCAGACCCTGAAATGATTTTTTAAAATATTTTTATTTTATGTGTACAAGTGTTACGCCTGCATTTAGGTAAGTGCACCATGTCATGCAATGCCCTCAGAGGACAGAAGAGGCTGTCGGATCCCTTGGAACTGGAGTTACAGACAGTTATCTGCCATGTGGGTGCTGGGATTCGAACCTGGGTCTTCTACAAGAACAGTCTGTTTTTAACCACTGAGCCATCTCTCCAGCCCGCAACTGAAATGATTTTAAGATTTTTTTTTTTTTTTGTCTTTTTGAGACAGGATCTCCCTGTAGCTCCAGCTGTCCTGGTTACTATGTAGACCAGGCTGGCCTTGAACTCACAAAGATCTGCCTGCCTCTGATGTATTTTTCAGAGAGTGAAACTGAGCTGACCAGCTTAGAACTTATGAGGACATTTTAAATTATTTTGGGACAGATTGCCAATATTTACTGAAACCTCTAAGCTGAAAAGCTCAGTGCCGACCTACTTGGTCTTTAAGGATTCAGTATGAGCCTGTGATTGACCCTTAGGTCCTACCCAGAAGCTTTTTTTTTTTTTTTAATTTTTTTTTTAAATTAAAAGAAGCATTTCATTACAACAGCATTAACCTATTCAATAACATTTTTCTGAGCTAGGGTATATCTTATTATTAC